AAGATATTAATTTATTAAAATCACGAATTGTTTCAAATGAAAATTTGGAAATGGTGGGAGATGCAATAAGAATATTTAGAAGTAATGCTGAAGTTGATTCATATAATAGAATAGTATTGGCTAGTCTTAATACCGAAGGTGCAATCGCTAATGCATATAATTTTTGTGTTGGTGATGGACTTGCATCAATAAGAGAAAAAGTTTTAGACAACGTAAAGAATTTGAAAACAACTGAAACTTACGGTTTACCACTTAAAATTGATTTGAAAGTGGGCGCTAAGTATATGATGACAGTGAATATTGACACTGAAGATGGATTAGTAAATGGCGCCTGTGGAAAATTGATAATGATTGATTATGGAAAGCTTCAAAAGACTAATGAGACAGTACCATGTAGACTATGGATTAAATTTAATGAGGAGAAAACTGGAAGAAAAGCTAAAGCTAACTTTCATAATGTAATGCGAAATAGAAATATTGATCCTAGTCTCACACCAATTGAACCAGTAACACGGTAAATAAACACACGGTCAACAAATTTCAAAGTAGAACGGAAACAGTTTCCTCTAGTTCCTTCTGAAGTCATGACTATATATAAAAGTCAAGCTGGCACTTATGAAAAAGTCGTTGTCAATCTAAAGAAAGGAATGACAAGATCTGAATTATATGTCGCTTGTAGTCGTGCAACAAAAGCAAGTGGTTTATATTTAATTGGCAACTTCGTTCCACCAAAACACCTGAATGTAATGATGCAGTGGTGATGATGTTCAAAAGTATGAGATCCGAACGAATGCTGAAATTTTCACTTGAATTTCCTAAAGAATCTCAAGGAGAAAGATTTTTCGTGATGTTTCACAATGTACAATCATTGAATAAACATATTTTGGATATCAGATCTGACAAAACATTTTTGTGTGCTTCTATGATAAGTCTTGTTGAAACATGGACAAAACCTACTGATTCTTTGGAAATTGAAGGTTTTAAAGCAATTCACAGACGTGATTGTAATGATACACGAAAACCATTCGGTCAAATCACTTACTTAAAAAATGATTTGAAGTATGAAAATATCACCGAAAGATGTGAATATTCAGGAAAAGACCATATTGAATATTGCTCAATAAAAATTGATGATATTTGTATTATTTCCGTTTACAATTCACCAAATTCATCATTTGATGTCTTAAAACAACATATTATTGAAGTTATATCTATTTCAAAAAGATTCTGTGAAGATATAATTGTTGTTGGTGATTTAAATATAAATTTGAAGATAAAAACCAATCACAAATTCATTGAATATATGGAGTCGTTAGGGTTGACTCTGATTAATAAATTAAATAAAAGTTCAACTAATGCAAAAACGCAAATTGACTATTGCTTCACTAATGTGAAAGATTTAAAATCTGATTATTTTGAAAGTCTTACAACTTTTCACAAACCAATATGGATAGGAAAACATAAAGTTTTGACTAAGTTTCATTTTGATGAAACCGAAGAC